CACCTAAAGTCATTTCTGTGTGACTTATGGATCATTTATGTTAAAGTCAGAGCGACATCAAGCAGGTTTGTGTCGATCAGAAGGACTCCAGAGGAAGGATTCTAGTTTATAACATAAAGTCTGATACAAACAGAAATGAGGGTAAAATCTTTCTTCCCAGTCGTCTGTTCCTTTACTCGACTTTTCCGAGTCCCTTCCTGCAAAGTAATGACTCAGAAATTCCCAATTTATATGGAAATCCACCTGAGACACTCTCGCCAATTAACAGACGGCTAATTGGTGGATGAGTCAGGTGAGGAAACCAATCAGAGCTTCTGGTGAACTTCCTGTTTTTATTCCCGTCACCTCTGCAGCAGCTCAGCTTCTAGAAAACACAGAGAACGAACCCGAGCTGCAGCTTTAACCTGTAAAAACATCATGTTTGAGGAAACGCTGGCCTCGGGGGAGACGCATGCAAATGAGCCGAGCTCCTAACGAGCAGCGAGACGCCTCCTCTCAGCCTCTTCTGTTGTTTTGCAGCTTTTTCTTTCTCGCCATAAAGCTGCTGCTGAACGCTGCATCTGAATACACATTACATGCAGGAGTTTATTTCACAGCGTCGTAATTTCAGAGGACGTTTCCAGCAGAAGAGCAGTTTAGGAAGTTGTTTGTGACTCGACTTCCAGAGGACCGGTTCATTCATGACTCATTATCTCCACATAGCTGTGTGTCTAATGTGTGAGTGGAGCTGCAGGCTCACCTGTAGATTAAATACAGCTCCTGCATGTTGAGGGCATTGAAAAAGGCTTTAAGGTTTCTATCAACTGGAGTTAAGAACAGCTGAACTTTGATTACTGGGGTAAACCAGGGTAGATTAAAGTGTTTTTTACGGCTCGTTAAATAACACGAAAATCATTTTACAAGTCTAATAAAACATTATTATTATTATTATTATTATAATTAGTAGTAGTAGTATTTTACAAGAGTATAAATATATAGGTGTATCCTTAGAGTCATATGGAGGAGTAGACATAATAATAATTTATATATTTTTTTTAAACTGCCCCCAGGGAACAAATAAAGTTTTAAAAAAAATCATATTTAATATTATTTATTAATTCAAAACAAAACAAAACAAAAAAAACAATATGGAGTAGGACCTGTGGAGTAGTGAGAGCGACAAATTACAAAAATAAATCAATAAAAGAATAATAAAATAAAAGTGGAAATAAAAAGACGAATAAATAAAATAAAAAATAAGTCATGTGACAATATAAAGCAATTTTATTCAAAAATGAATCCATGAAAGAAAAGACCAATAAAAGTAGAAATATAAAGACAAATCATAAAAAAAGTAATAATATTTTTTGTAATTTAGTTTTTGTTTTTTATTTTATTTTTTCTTATTTTTTTCATTTTTATTTTTATATTTATTTTTAAATATGGAGTAAGACCCACCAATTCAAAATTAATTAAAAATAATCAAATAAACAAAAAAGAAAAATAAAAGTTCTGTAGTTACGTTGATGCTGCAGCCACAGTCAGAGCAACATCAACATTTCAAAATAAAATTCATCTTACGTGTAACTAATAAACTCATATCAGTCACAATGACTCGTTAAATAAGATTTGACATTTTACATTTATTTTTTATTTTTTAACAATTATTCTGGATTTAGTCTCTTAATAACAGAAGTATAGTGTTTTGTTACTGAACTGTTTTATAAGAAATAAAAGAAGATGAACATTGTAAACGGGTTCATCTAGTTTCTGTTTATTCAGTCTAATTATCTAAGTTACTGTGATATTCCTCTAACCTTATACTGATATGTTAGTTCTTTGCAAAACAACAATAATAAAACATCTAAAATAGTTTTTTTTTTAAATAAATAAATAAGTAAATTTCTGTTGCACTTAAAGTCAAAATATGAAAATAAAATGACCCTCATGCATAATTACCAAGTTTTTATTGACTAAAGTGACTCATGTGGGCAGATTTTGACCTTTTTAAGTTTTAATTTAGCTGCAATTTGAAGATTTCATGACTCTTGTGCATAAATGATTAAGAATCCACATTTTACATATGATTTAACATTTAGTTTTATAATAACAAAGTCGTGTTTCTTTTGGTTTACGTCCCATCTCGTTGTATGTGTTGTTTGTTTGTGTTTAAGGTGCATCTCACTGGTTTATTCTACCAGATTATTACATTATTATCTAATTACATTAAGTTACTGGAACGTTTCCTGTCGTGACTCTAATAAATCTCTCTGTGTTTCCTGTAAAGCGCTGCGAGCCGTGACGCCGTGCAGAACGCATCACGCTGCAACCCGCCGGCGACGCCTCCGACTCCAACTCCGGTTTGTTTTCACTCCGATCAACAGATGCAGCGACAACAAACGGCTTCCGTCTGACATTTGACAAATTGCCGGAGCGCCGAGGACGCTAGCAGTCGTCGGCGCTCGGGTCAGCAGGTTGGTGTACAAACAAAGCGACGGGTGTCACTTGGCTGAGCACCACAGTTGTTCCAACAAGGACAATTACCCTAATACTTGCTTGGAATTAAAAACCTCATTACAGAGACTTAATTAATGATCTGGAAAGTAAAGGATATTAACAAATAGCGAGCGATAACACTGTTGTTGCGTTTGCCACATCCAATCTGCGCCTCTCGTTTATGGACCATTCTCCTTCGCAATCAAGGAGAAAATTTCATATTCGTAATGGGAAATTTAAATTTGAATATTAGCGCGGCGGCGGAGGAGGAGGAGGGGGCTTTTGACATTGGACACCGAGTAAAAGTCGCTGTCCTTTTATTGCAAATGCTGCCATTACAGCGTGTTAGCAGAAGAGCCACAGATAAGCGCCGGTGCCTCCGACACATTAGCGGCCCGGAGACAAGGCTGCGCTTTTTAAAACGAGCTAAGAGCAGCGGGGAAATTAATACGGCTACGATAGCGAGCGCTTCGGACGACGGAAGTTTATTGCAGTTTGTGTTCTTCCCTGGGCTCTGTGACATTGAGACGACCATGTGTCGGGCAGATAAAGGAACGGCAGAAGTGACATTAGCAGCAGAGGAGGTTTGAGAGAGCAGCAGGGAAATGAAAAAGGCAACAGGAGGGGAAGTCATGAGACAGAAGGAGGAGCAGCTCAGACCGAAGCTCTGAGAATCCACAAGTTATCGTCACTTAAACATGAAAACACAACTTGACTGAGGATCAAATGTGCAAATGTTGCAGCATTTTGCAGGACGTTCTTCAGACCGGAGCTCTGAGAATCCACAAGTTATCGTCACTTAAACAAAAAAAGAAAACTTGATTTAAGATGATTTGGAAATGTCAGACTTTTGCAGGATATTTCTCGTCTGAAAATAAGAAATTCACACAAAAAGAAACAGCAAAGCAGCTCAGACCGAAGAAACAAGAATCCAGAAATGACTGATAAACATAAAACTTGACTTTAGATTATGTAGAAATATGAGATTTCTGCAGGACGTTCTTCAGACTGAAGCTCCGAGAATCTATAAATTATTCTCACTTAAACAAAAGAAAGAAAACTTGACAGAAGATTCTTTGGAAATATCAGATTTTCGCAGAACTTTTCAGGATATTTCTGGTCAGAAATGAAGAAATTCACACAAAAAGACAACACAGCAGCTCAGCCTGATGATCTGAACATTATCACGACTTAAACAAAACAACAAAACTCAAGATTCTTTTTTGTAATATCAGAGTTTTTTTTGCAGAATTTTGCAGGACGTCAATCAGATCGAATCATTGAGAATCCATGAATTATTTAAGCAAAAAAAGAAAAGAAAAGATAAACAGAAAAGTTGATTTAAGATTATTTGGAAATATCAGATTTCTGCAGGATTTTTTTCGTCTGAAATTAAGAAATTCACACAAAAAGACTGAAGAACTGGAATAAATAAATTATTGTGACTTAAACATTAGATTTCTTTGATTTGTTTAAAAAAAAAAAACATCAAATCCTGCAGCTTTTGCAGGATTTTCATTTCACTGGAATTCAGAGATTCACAAACAGGAGAAAGAAGCAGTTAGAATCCACGACTTCTTGTTGTTTAAACACTAAACAGAACTCGACTTTTTCAGGGTGTTTGTTGTCTGAAGATGATAAATTCACAGAAGAAGAGCAAAAAGAAGAAGGAGCAGCTCAGACCGAAGCCCTCAGATGCATAAATTATTGTTAAGAAACAAAAAACAAAACTTGACTGAAGATTCTTTGATTTTTTTTTGCAGATTTTTGCATTTTATTTCTTTTATTTCTTGTCTGAAAACAAGAAAGAAGAAAGAGCAGCTCCGACCGAAGCCCTTAAAACAAATAAATTCTTCTTATTAAACAAAACTGGACTAAAGATTCTTTGTAGATATCAGATTTCTGCAGGACTTTCCTTCGTCTCGAACTTAGAAATTCAATTGAATTTCTTAAGGAAAACCTATTTTCCCAGTTTGCAGCAGCCTTTATTTTTTTCTTGCGGCGTGCATCAAAGCGTGCGACGCGGCGGCCTTCGCTCTGAGACCTGCTGGTTTTCTAATCAGGCGCCGGCGCTCACCTGGGACGGAAGGTGAACGCAATTAGTGTAACTGGCTGCTCCGATCAGGACGCTGCGGCCGCATTACAACCCACTGATACGCCTTCGCTTTAACGTGCATCCACACACCGAGGAAGTTTAGCTTTAGAGCGCAAATAAAAGTTAACGTCCAGCAGGAAGAGCTGCTGCAGAGACGTATTCTACCTGCACAGAGGGAGTGTTTAGCTGTGGAGCTGCTCGTATCTCACACACAGAGCATTTATACCATCTGCTGCTATTATTATTATTATTGGAGGAGTTTGGAGCAAGAACAAGAACAAGAACCGTCAGTTCTGTACTTTTGGTTCATTAAAGCAGCGCAACATGCTTGAAAGTAAACGTTCATACGGCTGAACGTCATCAGAACGCTGCAGGAACGTTGTTTTACGTCTCTTTTTGTTCGTTTAAATTGGACTTTAAGGTGCGATGATGAACATAGAAGTGAATAAAAGGTGGAGCATTACTTGGATCGGAGAGGATGGAGTCCGTCTTGGGCAGAAACTGGTCGCAGCGGATTCCCTGGTAGCCTTCTCGACACCTGGTGGAGGAAGAGGAAGAAAGAATTAGTCTCACATTAAACGCCTCCTCGCGCTTCCAGACAAACCCAAAATGAACGGCGACAAAAGTGCAAAGTAGGAGCAGCTCAGGTGATCTTTGGAGGAATCTTCCTGAAGAAGACATCTCTATTTTATTTTATTTTAGCAGAAACGCAGCATCCGATCCCCGTTAAAGCAAACAACCTTCCCGTTCGTACGACTAAACGAGTCCGAGTTGCTTTCTTGGTCAGGAAGTCTTGACAGATGCCGAATCTGAGAACCGTTTAACCCCTTCAGGTGCTCCGAGTTTTCCTCGGACTTTTAAAGCAGCCTAAACTGTTGCGTTCTGATTGGCACGTTAGCGCGCCGATGATCATTAAGCAGCTAATGAATTCTGAAACGCGCTCGGCTGCCCTTCACAAAGTGTCCCAGGAAAAGGCGTTGCGAGGATGTGTTTTTAATTAATTCCAGCTCAATAAATATGTCCTTATCGACATACGGGAGTGTAACCGGGAGCTCGGCGGTGGTGTGAAGCCTAATTGGGCGCCGCGGCTGGATCGGACATCAATCTTCGCCTCTGGCCGTTTGTACCTTCGCTCGCCGCTTTGCTTTTTCCGGGTCCCTCCGGAGGAAAAATGCAAGTCTCATACGTGCAAATAAAGCAGGAGCCTCGGCAGCAGGAGTAGTTTGTGAGTCCTCTTTAAGTTTGACCTCAATCATTCGGCCACTTTCTCAAACTACTCCGTCTCGCCAGGTCTCAATCTTCCCGCCGTCCCCCGGTGGCTTTGTTTCTCAGACGCTCCTGGAATCAGTCTGAATGTGATCTGACAGGCTGACAGCAGAGCAGAATTACATATCCTAACGAAACCGAGGAACGTCCACGACCACACCGACAGAACGCCGCACAGAGCTCAGCCTCACAAAATAAAGAAATAAGAAAGATTTTGCTCCCTGCAGAGTGACAACGTTTTTTTTTCTCTTCTTCTATCTACAGCGAGTGATTTTCAATTACTATAAGAGCCACAGCAGGAGGAGAAAGACGCACTCCATCGCTTGGAGAGCGTCTTCGCTTCTGGAGGGAAAGGAGGCAGATGTGCTGAGACAGACGCTGAAAGTCTGGGTCTTAGAAAACTTAGACTGAAAACAAAGACGGAGCCATGAAGTCACCTGAAGGTTTTAAAGCTCAGTGTTCAGCCTTAATACGGTTCAAACAGGTTTGGTTTTTAAAAATTCACCCACTCGTGGGCAAATTAGCTTCAGAGACCAAAACAGTTCATGTATCAAACTGTAAACGTGTTTATTTCTGCGGTAAAGTCGGACATTTTAACATTGGAGTCTATGAGGACTGACTCGCTCTTCAAACCAGCCTCTAGTGGATGTTTGAAGAACTGCAGCTCGTTTTTCAGTGTTGGAAGTTTCTGTTTGACAAATATACGTAAACAGCACTGAATCGCTCTGATATGTTGGATAACCACAAGGTTTAAATTACAAGTATACTTAAAAATAAATGTAGACAAACAAACTCTTCATTTCAATATCAGATTTTTTGTTTTTTGTAGTTTGAAATACTTCAATTTTAAAAGTATGCATTGAGAAATATATATATACACACACACATATATATATACAATAATTGATTATTTATAAAAGTTTGATTATTTGCAGTTTACACTTAAATGAATAATTTTTTAAAAATGTGATTATACTCAATATTATCTGTAATTTATGAAAATGGGGAAAAATAATAGTAATATAATATTAATAATATTATTATTTAATATTTTCTATTAATATTTTCATTTTATATCAGTATATCTATCAATGTGTGTGTATATATATACATATAAAATTATTAGTACATATTATTCATGATATTGTTTTTACACAACTTTTATTAAATATTAAAATGCTATTTTAAAAAAATACACATGATCTCCTGTGAAATTATTACAAGAAAAATTTTCAAATTTTGGAAAATGAGGGTTTTTCTGAGATTTTATTTTCCATTATTTTTACAGCTGCTGAAATATTAAAATTCTTCAGCACATCTATTCTTTGTTGTGGGGCGCCACGAGGCCGGTAGCCAACTTAACATCCTGCAGACTAGCAGTAATGTTAATAAACAGAGCGGCAGGTTGCTGCTGACCATCATTTCTATACTATCACAAACAGTGATCGCCATGGTAACCCCGGTGTACTTTTATCAAATACTTGGTTCAGCAAACAGCTGAACGTTCCTCTTCCTGTCCGTGTTGAACAAAGGGCTTCGCGTTCATCACTTCTCTGACAGATGGTGACGATATCGAGCACGACGCCGAAGACACTGAAGAAACCTCCTCGTTCGTCTCGCTGCAGGTTCTCCTGCAGGTTTGTTGTTCTCAGCTTTGGCCGTCGCGTGAAGCCGGATTCGTGTTGTGTGGGAGCAGCAGAACACCAACGACTGGTCGCTTTGTTTCAGAGGCACGACCTGAACTCGTGTCTAAACTTCGGTAAAGGTCGGTTCAGACAGAAGCTTAGACGACTGAAGAGGATTAATGCAGAAGTTTCCCAAATCAGATCCGTAATTCAGGTCACTTTAAAAACACACATGGACTTTTTTTTCTGTGCTAAAGATGCGGATGGCGCCGTGACCCGAGCTGACCGAACCCTGACAGCAGACGAGCTCTGCAGTGCCGAACGCAGCGCAGGAAGATAATTAAAAGACGGGAGGCCGAGCACAGCGACGGAGTCCCGCTCATTAGGGGCAGCTGTGCAAAGAGAGGCAGCGGCGCAAAAACAAAACCACTCGGAGGCATCACAACACACACAAACAGCCACACTTGTTGTTTGGCCACGAGCGCCTCCACGCCGCCGTGACATCCTCCTCCACCGCGTCCCCTCCAGTTTTATGACGTTATCGTCCCGCTAACTGTTGGCTCGGCAGAGATCAAATGTTCCTCCACGAGGCTCAGAGGAGAGGATCTACGAACGGACCGATCGAAGGAGTTGTTTCTAATTAGCAGCGCGGTTGTTAATTAGAGAATGTGAGCAGCGTACGTAAGAATGGAAGCATCACAGAGGATAAATATAAACAGGACGCCTGCAGGAGGACGAGGACGAGTGGAAACCCGCTTAAGAATAAAGACGTTTACATGCATCAGGAAGGAAACATCTGAGCTGAGCAGGTTCCAGCTGATTCAGACGTGAACACAGAGGTGGAGATCATCTCTCTGTGCAGAACTTTAACCCTCAAGAACATTTAAACACTTAATTTATGCACAAACTCAGTTGGATTAGCAACAGAGACCAAAACTGTTGCTGCTCAGTCAAAAAAAAAACAAAAAAAATGTAGTCTTTTAGTTTATCAACTTTTTTTTCTAAATATGAGAAAATATCAATAAAATATTTTTTATATATAAAATCATTTTATTTAAAATTTTTATTAATTTTATAAAATAATTCCCCAGGTCTGGGATAAATAATTCTATTCACAATCACGTCTCATGTCTGTCGAAACATCAAACTGGGACAAAACTGATGACTTCACTTGATGCAGCTTCAGTTTGAATCCTGTTTTCACCATCTGACGCACTTTAGCTTAAAGTTTTTACATATTTATTAGGATTTAAATGTCCCATCGAGATTAAAAAATATCTTTTTATTGAGTTTCTGCACTTTTTACACTTTTGCAAAGAGATTTTTTTGCTTTGCACACATTTTAATCCTTCAGAATCTTGTCATCTTGCATTAGAATGACAATAAAGCTTCATATATTTATCTTTATATCAAGTCCAGATCTGTTGTTTCTACACACCTACACAGGAATGTTAACTCCAAAGCTGCTCAGTACCTCTGCAGGAGCACTTTTGGGATTTAAATGCTGCCATGTTTGACTTTCTGAATGTTTATTTAACTCTTTCCTCAGACCTCTTCACTGCTTTTCTAATAAACACTTGATTCTGCCTAAAAAAAGGACAAACTTGAGACCAGAACGAACACAAAAAGTGTCTCGGTGCTCGTGCTGAACGTCGGCGCCGCTCCTCGGTTCTGCACAGAGGTGATGTTTACGGGTTTTCTGTTCGGCCCACAGAGACCGAAAAGTGGCGAACGAAGACGGATTTCTGAAATGTTCTTCCCGGTAACCTCGTTGTCGCCGAGCTCTTCCCGCGGCGCCGCGAGACAGAAAACATACATCACTTTGGTCCTTCAGATACTAAAGATGTGATACAAATAAAATAATGAGGCGGTTTGTGGTGTCGGACATCAAAAGAAGCATCAGAGATCCAAATAACGGCTTCTGTCTCCTTGGCAGGGCGGCCATTTAGACCAATTTAACACAGTGCAGGCCCACAGTATCGCCAGCCTCAATGGTCTATTAAAGGAAAATATGCCACAGCGCATTGGTCAGACTGTGACAGGTTGGCTCAGTGATCTTCACATTGTGGACCATTCTGCCGGCATGAAATTCATTTGGCCGATACACTTCCAGTAAACTGCCCAACAAATAACAGCAAATAGCAGAAGGGAAGTGTTGTTCCTGTCACGGTCGCAGCCTCACCTGCACAACAATCTGCTCGCTGCAGGTTTCCGGAGGTGAAAACCACCAAGACGGCCGCGTGGACGTGAGACTAAAAGGTGATGGAGCAGCTCCGGCTTCATCTGAAAGCTCCGGGAATGTTTGAGATGTGAATGTTTGTACACGTCTGGCTAATTAGGCCTCTGAAGGGCGTTTTTTGCACATTTTTCTTCTCTGTGGGTTCATTTTTCACTGCAGTAAAAAGTCCTGCAGCTCTTTGGAAACAGAACAGGAGTGACTAGGAGTAGACAGAACTCAGAAATGTCTTCTGTGCAGCGCGACGCAGTTAGAACGCCAAAAATCAGGAAAAAAAGTTGAATTTCTTTGATTATTTATCTTGCAAAGATTGAAAAAGTGTGGAATCAACATGAACATATATATTTTTTTTAAACACCCACATTTGCGAACAATACTAGAAAAAAAATGGAACGGTGACTCTGCATACTA